CACACACACACACACACACACACACACATATATATATATATATATATATTGATTTTTGAGTTTGATGACGTTTCTATATAACAAATTGGCCCATACAATTAACATGATCAAACCATAGGTATTTACGGAACAAAATCAATACGTTATCAGGAGTCATGATGTAAAATTGTATTAGGACTGCAATCACAACGAGTCACGTGTATGGCCCGCCCCGATATATATTAAACTATTTAGTTTTTTGTATTCAGTGCAGCCAAACCGTACACATTGTGATTGGTGTACTGATGCAATTTTGTATCATGACTATTGATATAATATATTTTTTTTCGAAAGAGGAGCTTAATTTATAATTGAATTGCAAGAAAAACAATGAGCAATATTCAAATTTCCTTATATAAAATCTAAAAAAAAAATGCAAAAATTAAAATGTCAATTATAAGAAATGATAAACAAGAAGTTCATATGACCAAATAATTCACTTTTAAATGCACATGTGCTTTCTATTTAGAAACAAAGATGAATATTTGAGATTTTTCTTTTACTATAAAGTGCTGATGAAATAATGGTTGAAAATAAACATCCAATAGTAGGAATCAATGATTTAATTGATCATGTTCTTAAGAATTGATTTGAGATCATAACATCATTAAGTTAGAGTTAAAAACTAATTATAACATAAATAATTTTTGAAACAAGGTACAATCACTAGTATTATCATTTAGTTTAATAAATGCGTTATGAATTTGACGAAGAAAATTCTTGTGTTATGTGGATAAACATGTGATTATATTTATTGATGATATTTTGATATGCTCTATGATCAATAAAGATTATGCTAAATATCTGAGAATGAAATTGAATTTGTTGAGAAAGAATCTATCAATGCAAACTTTAAATAACAATGAATTAATTAATAGTCTTTCATAGCCATTTTATTGATGAACTGTTAGCAGCTTTATTTTAATGTCATTAAAAATTCAAATTTAAACCAAGAATGCACCCAACCTTTGCCATATTATGGCATTAGTGATATATATGGCATACACTATGTAACATCGCAACCCAACTAGAACTATAATAAATTGAATCGAAACGGCTTCAAGCAACACTCACAATTCAAATCAAATTACAAAAAAATAACATATCATGATTACTTGAGAGTTCATCTACATTCCATTTAAGCACATTTGAAAATATATTACTTAGCTTGGGTTTATCCTTCAATAAATGTAAAACACACAAGGGGTGCGCGCAGTATACAAAATAAATTATACAAAGCCTACAACTAAACTTAATGTATGAAAAAAAAAATAACATGTATGATTGCTGCCTATCAATTTACAATCATAAAGTACATACATCTTACATTATTGATATGACAAATACAAATTATAGTAAGTACAAGAGTACAATCTATGCTATGGTATATATATATATATATATATATCACATACTTAAATCAGTTGGTCAGACATCTGCTTGTCTGTTGTAAGTCCACTTTGGTCTGGGGTTCGAATCCCCCAGAGTGTAGCGTGTGGTACTTGAATTCTTAGGTGCATGAGAGATGACTGACTCGTGTGTGTGTGTACACGGGGGAAGA